TGATCTGGGCTCCCACAGATGTAGCAGTAGGAATTTGGTGATTTCTTGGCATACTTTCAAGTTGCCGCGGACTCTTATACAACCGTGAGGGAAACTGGCAGCTGTGTTGGCAGTAGCTGTATTTTCAACAGCTGGTTTTGACACAGTCTGGGCTAATGTGAGCTGTGTTTGCCTATGGGCTTCAGATAGCAGCTTATCTTCAGCCTCTCTTTCATCCTCCAGTTTCTCATAGGCACATCTGGCGTGTTTGCGCAGTTTTTCCAAGCGAGCGTTTTTCATGTCCAGACAGGTGACTTACATCATTACAAAGACTTCAGGTAGCAGCCCATTTAGGAAATGTTGGCTAAAGGCGCACTCCCAATGCCCCATCACATCACCAAGGCTTGATGGCTTGTCCACGCCAGAGTACTCATTATGGGCAGCTAGCAGCCGAGAGGAGTAATCTTCTGATGTTTCAGTGTTTAGTTGTATACAGGGCTTCACCTTTGCCATGACAACCTTTCTTAGAAAAGCTTGGTTGATGGTGGCACACAGCTTGTCCAATGCAGCTCTGTAATGGTTGTTTGCAGCATCATCAAAGGTAGGATGCATGACACGGTATTCACCTACCAGGTCACCTTTAACCTTGTCAAAGTTGGTTTGGCCCAAGTGAAGGATTAGCAGTCTTCTCAGCTCAGGCCAGGTGGGCTGCACTTCCATGCAGAAAGTTTTAATGGCAGCACAGAACTTTTCTCCTCCTTCGACAACGTTAGGCAGTTGCTGCATATATGCCATCATGTCCTCATTTGTCCAGGGACGGAACACCAGTGCTGGACCTGCATGTCCTGCGACCTCTATCATCGGCAGAGTCAGCTCACTGGTCTCTGGGTGATTGCTGCTAGCTGTGTTTCCAGAGCCTCTTTTTCCTCCTGCAGCTTAGCCAATTTCTTTGTGGTCTTCAGAGGTACAGCATCTGAGCTGTGGTACCTTGTCTTTGAATGAGAGGTGGAGGTGCGGGGGGCTTCTGCTGCACCTTGCTTCTCCTGTCTTTTCCTGAGTTCCATCTTTGTGGCAGCTGGTTTAGTCACGTTTCTTGGCTTTGGTTCTGGCCGTTCTTGCTTCACTGGGTCGGTGCTCATAGGAGGTGGTGTTTGAGGACGGTTATCAGCAGGTTTGTCGTCATCAGATTCTGTTTGCAGCACCTCTTCCTCGTCATCAGGGTCATCAGATGATTCGTCATTAGGTTCATCACTGTCGAAGCCGGGTTGGGTCGACGGTGGGGGCCGGTGACCAGGAGCCAGGGTGTCCTCATATTGATTTCCCAGCCCATGCAGAGAGGGGTAAATGGAGGGAAACACATTTAGAAATTTTAACAACAGCTTTTTCATCATTTTTTTCATTCTTTACAGGAGGCTTTTTTTCTATCTTTTCATTTTCATTGGTAGGAGAGCCACTTTCCAACATACACWTTTCTGAGCTCATTATTTTATTTTCTCTCCTTAGGGCCTCCTCCTCCCATGCCAAAAAACATTTTTATGATGTTCTATTTCATTTAAATCAGAGACCTTTATCATTTTTCTCGATTTAAGCTTTGATTCATGTTCCAGTAAGCGGTCACGGAGGTGGCTGAGCTGTCTGGGACTGAAACTCCCACCGTCCGGGAAACCGAATTTGTCAGACCATACCCACAAATGCGACACGGCCTCCTCGCCGTATTTGTTTACGATTGCTTGTACGCACGGCCCGTCTGACACATACATTGGTTGAGCAACAGATCCAGTCTGACACATTATTACAAAACTCGTGCTCAGTGCACTACCTAAGCAATATTCTTAAAACGAAAATCGGGCGGCCGCCTTTTAACTGACTTTTAGCCTACAGTTGTTTCCCTCAACAGAAAACAGAAACGGAAAATTATATTTTCCCTCAGCAGTTTCATCATGTCTAACTGCCTACACTCACGAAGATGAAACAATCTCCTCTTGGCTACCTCAAAACAGAAAGCTAAACCTCCCTGTTTTAACTCGATTTGGAATAAAAACGCTCCCAATATCTTGGCTAAAAGTCACCACCAACCGCTGAAAGTGACCAGACAAGTGTCCAACAATCAGATTTTTTTAGAGTGTGGTGGGCCAAAAATAGCCGTAGCTTTTTTTTTTGTGCATAAAATGTAATGAAAATATTAGCTCACCGTGTTTCTGTCACAGACAGGTTCTTTTCAGCTCCAGTCCCAAAGTCACCCACAGCGGCCGAATCTGAGGACAAATCCCAGCCGGGATATGTTCAGCAGAGGAAAACAAACAAACAAACAAACAAAAAAAACAGGTCAGCTTTCTCAGAAACTGAAGAAAAACCCGGAAAACCTTCTTCCTCCTTTGTCCAGTGGTCGTCCGAAAACCGGCCGCAGTGGGCAAACTCCGGTCCTAGGAGCTGCCTTCAGACAACGCCAAAAAACTGTGGTGGCAAGATTTACCAAGAATGCAGAAACACGTTAGAATAAAAGCACAGAAAGTCTGCGTGTATGGTCATCAAATGATTTAATCTGAGCAACAACAGAGCAGAAGTCAATCAGAGAAGTCTGTCAAGTTGTGGCTGGCTCGTCAGCGCAGAGCAGCCGATAATATAACATCCTGTGACATGCTTACAACCAATCACAGTTTGACAGCTGTAACCACCTAACCAATAACAGGGCTCTCAGCCCAGGAACTACCTTATCAAAATAAGAGAGGTCATGCATTTGCTGGAGTCTTGAAGTCTAGGACAACAGATTAAAACAGCCTAAACTAGTTGTCATAAGATATGAGTACTGGACAGCGTCAAGGTTAAACAGATATACATAATTAATCCATAACATAATACAATCTGTACATCTGTGTCCAGTTTCCCTGAAAGCTTTGTTCCATTTGGTTTCCCACACAGCTGATCTGAACACTCCCTTCACATCCTGACACATTTCAGTTTGACTCACTTCAAGTNCTATTTCATTTAAATCAGAGACCTTTATCATTTTTCTCGATTTAAGCTTTGATTCATGTTCCAGTAAGCGGTCACGGAGGTGGCTGAGCTGTCTGAGACTGAAACTCCCACCGTCCGGGAAACCAAATTTGTCAGACCATACCCACAAACGCGACACGGCCTCCTCACCGTATTTGTTTACCATTGCTTGTGCGCACRGCCCGTCTGACGCATACATTGGTTGAACAACAGATCCAGTCTGACACATTACTACAAAACTCATGCTCAGTACACTACCTAAGCAATATTCTTAAAATGAAAATCGGGCGGCCGCCTTCTAACTGACTTTTAGCCTACTTCTTGTTTCCCTCAACAGAAAACAGAAACAGAAAATTTAATTTTCCCTCAGCAGTTTAATCCTGTCTAACTGCCTACACTCACGAAGATGAAACAATCACCTCTTGGCTACCTCAAAACAGAAAGCTAAACCTCCCTGTTTTAACTCAATTTGAAATAAAAACGCTCCCAATATCTCAGCTAAAAGTCACCACCAACCGCTGAAAGTGACCAGACAAGCGTCTAACAATCAGATTTATTTAGAGTGTGGTGGGCCGAAAATAGCCGTAGCTTTTTTTTTTTTTGCATAAAATGTAATGAAAATATTAGCTCACCGTGTTTCTGTTACAGACGGGTTCTTTTCAGCTCCAGTCCCAAAGTCACCCACAACGGCCGAATCTGAGGACAAATCCCAGCCTGGATACGTTCAGCATAGGAAAAAAACTTAAAAAAAATAACAGGTCAGCTTTCTCAGAAACTGAAGAAAAACCTGGAAAACCTTCTTCCTCCTTTGTCCAGTGGTCATCCGAAAACCGGCCACAGCGGGCAAACTCCGGTCCTTGGAGCTGCCTTCAGACAACGCCAAAAAACTATGGTGGCAAGATTTACCAAGAATACAGAAACACGTTGGAATAAATGCACAGAAAGTCTGCGTGTATGGTCATCAAATGATTTAATCTGAGCAACAACAGAGCAGAAGTCAATCAGAGAAGTCTGTCGAGTTGTGGCTGCCGCATCAGTGCAGAGCAGCCGATAATATAACATCCTGTAACACGCTTATAACCAATCACAGTTCGACAACGGTAACCACCTAACCAATAACAGGGTTCTCAGCCCAGGAACTACCTTATCAAAATAAGAGAGGTCATGCATTGCTGGAGTCTAATGGTGCGTTCACACCGAACGCGATTTCAGCTTCAAAATCGCAGCCAACGCTGAAGTCTGAAGCTTGTGCACTTTGAGGTCAGACGCAGGACAGTTGTTGAAGCGCCGCACGGCGACAGCCGCCCCGCCCCTCCCTCCTCTGTCGGG